CTATTTGGTTTAGAGAAGTGCTATGGGAGTTTACACTGACTTGGAAATCCGATCCTTATTTTACAAGACTAATCTCTGGGTCACGTCTTTGTCTCCACTGTATACTCAATCCTGATGAGGCTTAAAGGAGCAGATTAAAAAACACACAGAGATGCCTAGATTACTTCACCAATGCAGGTTTTTAAAACTGTAATTGCACTGCAGTATGGAGGCACAGTGTGTATAAATTTTTATGTTCTCATCCAAATCCCTTTTTACTTCTCACTTGGACACTGTGTTTTAAGGATACAACACAGTTGCTAACATGTTGTATCAAAGAACAGTTTATTTTTAATAGTGTATCATACTCTGGATATTTTTATCAATAAGAGACACAAGTCTTAATTATATTTACCTACCATTCAGCAATACTTCATATGTATTTATTATTACATAAGTGTAGATATGCATAAATAGCACCATACGAAATCTCAAGAACAAATACATATGAACTGACTTTTGATTTAGAAGTGTTTCTAGAGTCAGTTATTTTAGCCCCAATTAAAGGACAGGGTAATACAGGCTGGTTGATACAATTTCTACACTGTAAGTAGCTGGCTAAAGAACATTCTTTCATATTCCAGATGGCATTTGGAGATAAATCTGTCTCCACGCTTACGAAAAATAAAAAAAGTCTTTCACAAACCCTGAACTACCAGATCTAACATCTCAATTTCAGTTGTACAGATCTAACAGAAAGTGCTTTGGATACTATAAAATGTTTCTGAAAAATGTTAAGATATTTAAATGGAAAGTGAAACTGTATTAACCTTTAGTGTAACACAGTATAGGAGAAGCATAGAAAACAAGTTTTTAAAAGGGGAGTAATAGCTTAATATTTGCTAATGTTTATTTTGTAAAATCATATTTAATTTTATCTTCATAGCAACTTCTTGAGCAATTACTGTCCTCATTACATGGAGGAGGAAACTGTTTCAGGGAGGAAAAGTCAGGTACAAAGTATTAGGCTGGGGTTTAAAATGTACAAATCCAAAACTGATGTTCAGGTCACTTTGATTTACTGTCTTATTCAGAATGAAAAGCTTTTTCAAAAGAAATCACAATTTCTTGTTCTTAAAGCTATGTGTAACTGAGCATAGTATCAAAATCCCCATATTCTATAATAAGAAAATCTGCCTATTTAATTAAATATGAAATGGAACCTTTCAAATTTTTATTTTAACATATTAGTTTTATAACAGAACCTTATCATATAAAAAATATGAAATGCAATCCTTTCCCATGACAGAGGCTAAATAGAAGTAACAGATCCTGAAAATTTATATCCTAAGAAATGCTATTTTTAAGAAACTTAAAAGTGCAAATATTTCCTCAGCTTTTAGTAATAGCAAAGCAATTTTGCTGAAGCATCCACATGGTAATCCATCTATGGAAGTAGGAATGATCTTTTTATAGTGCTTTCATAACAGTCATAAGTGTCACTGTTACACATCTGTTTTCAACACATGAAGGTTCTCCATATTCTTAAACTGATCAATTAATCAAACAATCCAAAAATCAAACTTGTAAGAACCACTATGGGGGGTGGTTTGAACCCAGGACCTTCATACTGAGCTACATCTCTAGTCCTTTAAATTATTTTTGAGGCAGGGTCTTGTTAAATTGCTAAATTGCCTAGGTTGGGCTTGAATATAAAAGATCTATCTCCTCAGCCTCCCAGAGTGCTGGAATTACAAATGTGTGCCTTATGTCTGGTTAAATACTACTTTATTTATGTAGTCATTTTTCATTTGGTTAATTCATTTTTTCCATGATAGTTTTTTTCTGGCTTACTGTTTTTATTTTTTATCAGCACATTTTTATTAGTCTATACTATCCACGGAGAGTTGGTACATGTACACATCTTAAGTCTTTTTACTTCCCAATCCCTCCCCTCCTTCTTCCTCCACTATTTCTTGATTCCTTTCCCATTTGGAAAAGATCCATCCTCCTGTTTCCTATTATCTAATTTTTATTTTGCTCTTTAAGTCACGTACACTTTGCGTCTCTCATGTGAGAGGAATCATCTGATATTTGAGCTGGTGTATCTAATTCCGTTTGTATAATTACAAGGTTTCATGGAGGAAGTGAGAACTTCAGGTGGTGAATAATTTCTACTGATTTGTGAATAAGATTTGCTACCTTCTGCAGGAATTAGTGGTGCTACTCGCAATAGAAGTGCTCATAGCAGTATTCACAGACCAAGAAAGCTCTCGTACATATACAGTATCTACTCCCCTAATTTTACTTGGGATGGAATTAATTTGTGTTTGGAAGTCTCTATCTACTGAGTAAAAAAGGAATGGAATTTAGAATTGAGGAGACACCGGATGAGGTGACTCAGAGAAATAGTAACACTATGGCCATTCACTTCAAGTTCACCAGCATACAATTGAAAATGTGATAAATTTGTGTAATTAAAAGACTATAAAACTATGTGAAGCTGTAGTTCTCAGAAGAACTTCTGACAATCTGTCATGTTAGTATAAGCCAAAAATTCTTTATAACCACATATTCATTTTTTGATAAATGAGTACATTACCACAAGAAAGAATTTCCAGTTCCAGAAAAAATATTGAAATTGGTCAAAGTTGCAAACTACTAAAAGGAACATTATTAGAACCACATGATCTGACCATATGTTTCTGCAGACATTTGTAACCAAAGTAAACACATAGATTTGCATGAATGGCTCACCTTTTAGTGGGTATCAGTCGGTAAAGTCCCAAGTTTCAGTTTTAAGCATCCTTTATGTATAAGTGTTGGAAAAATGGGTATTATCATAGAAATTGTTACTCTTGGCTTAAACAGTTAGAAAAGAGGGTTTAGATGAATGCATTTTGAAAATGGGAGAAGAAGGAGGAGCAAAGATGGCAGATAGATAACAACTGGCTACAGAGGCTATCTGAGATAGTGAACTTAGAATTCAACACAATACAGAGTGGGGAGCCCCAAACAGAGAGAGATGAATTCTCATCCCAAGAAGAAATTAAGGCACCTCGTCGACCATCCGAGGTCCTGCCGTGACTGGCCAAGCTGTCTGAGGTCCCGCTGCTTCCACTCACTGGAGGCACAGTTACATTGAGTTCAGGCGTCGGCGAGCCAAATGGAGAGCTGAGTTGGCAGGGTGCATACATCAACTTGTGGTGAGTGATGGGAGTGAAGCCATTCCATAAATAGGGGGGCTCTGGTGGAGGACATTGTGGGACCAGGCAGGACTGGCAAGTACATGTACCGTATCTACTCCCCTACGGGGCAGCAGTGACTTCAGTCAGTTGTTCTCTTCCCAAACGGGATTGGTGGAGTGAGCTAGGCCTGGGTCATGTGACCTGGCTGAGACCCAATAGGTTATCCGAAATCCAGTTCCTACAGTGGTGGCGCACACTAAGCACACTAACCCAGGGAAGCCTCAGAAGTTTGACTGACCCAGAGGGGAGGGGCCAGCATATGCCATCCCTGTCTGCAACTCACTAGCACATGGCAGTGTGAAGGGTCATCTAGTCAGCGCATTTCAGAAGAATTGTAACTGACAAAGAAAGAAACTGGGGCATCCTAGAAGAAGCAAAAAAGATGGGAAGAGGAGGCAACAATAAAAAGTCCCCAGGCCCCAGCCCTGAGAACACTGACCCAGGGACAGGTAAATACAAAGGAGAATGAGAACAGCAAACATGCAATATCAGACACAGCGTCAGTGGACATAAAGAGATGTATTTGGGACCTCATAGAAAAGTTCAAAAGTGAAATATTTAGCCAAATAAAGCAAGATATAAGAAGATTAATAAAAGAGATACTAAGCACCCCTCAAGCAGAGACCGACGAAAGAAGGGAGGAACTCAAACAAAGGAGAGAAACATTTGATGAAAAATATAAAAAAATATAGAATACATGAAACAGATTCAAAGAGATCACCAGGAAATTAAAACTCTATGGTATGACAGCAAATCAGCTTGAAAGAAACTAAGGATAGATTATCCAAACTGGAGGACAATTTCGCAATGTGGGAGTATGAAAGAGAAAACTTTTTAAAAATAATAAGGAAACAGGCAGTAACAATACAAGGCTACAAGACAACTAAAGGATCTGTAACTTGAGAATAAAGAATGTAAATGAAAAAGCTGGGGTACAAACAAAGGAACTACAAAGGTTATTCACAGAAGTAATTAAGGAAAACTTCCCAAACATAGGAAAAGGAAATGATATTTTGATATGTGAGGCATACAGAACTCCAGCCACCTACAACCAAAACAGAGCTACACCCAGGCATATAATAATCAAGATCCCAGAAATTAAATATAAGAACAAAATATTAAAAGCTGTTAGAGACAAGAAACAGATAACCTATAGAGGAATGCCATCAGAATAATGGCAGACTTCTCGACACAAACCATCAAGTCAAGAAGATCCTGAAGTGAAATATTCCAAGCCCTGAAAGAAAATAACCTCCATCCTAGATTGATATACCCTGCTAAACTGTCTTAAGAAATTAATGGAGAAACAAGATGCTTCCAAGACAGAGAGGAACTGGGGAAATTTGCAAAGCACCAATCCAACCCTACAGAGAATACTCCAGGCATTCTAGAGAGAGAGAAAAGTACTAGGATTCCAGGAACAGTGGCCGAGAGGCCTCAGTGAATGGAGCAGAAAACAGAATGAAGAAGATAAGCAGACCACTGATGGCAAAAAAAGAGCATAACAGAAATGAGGCAGAAACGGGGTGTGGTGGCTCACGCCTGTAATCCCAGCAGTCAGAAGGCTGAGGTGGGAGGATCCTTGCAAGTTCGAGACCAGCCTGGGCTACAAAGTGAGCTCAAGGCCAGCCTAAACTGCGTAGCAAGACCCCATCTCAAAAAAGACAAAAAAAGGGGGCTGGGGATTTAACTCAGCAGCATAAGTGCCTGCCTTGCAAGCAGGCAGTCGTGAGTTCGATCCCTAGTACCAATAAAAATGAAAAAGACAAAAAAAGAGGCAGAGAAAATTTTATTCAAAACTGATATGATTGATAGTATCAAGTCTGAGAGTATAGGCAACTACACTGAAGATGACAAGAGTCCACGATACACATTCTGATTTGATAACTGCCAGTTTTTGAAGTTCTATATTATATACAAAGCTGTGATTTTGTTAATGCAGTTACGTATTGATATATTCAATTATACTATGTCTGATAATATAGCCAATTCTATTGGAGATAATAAGAGACAACACAGGAACCATGGTAGAACTCCTTGCACAACGGTCTTATATGTTTTTTTCATTTCATGTGTTTATAGGAATATGTTTTGTTTCATCTTGCTTGGTTTTGTTTCTCCCTCTAATATGGAAAGAATAGAAATACACGTTAAGACTCATGCATGTGTAGAATCCATAAACAGTTTATGAGAACTGATCTTATGACACATGATGAAATGAACAAATACTTTGACAAAAAAAAAAAAGACACTAAAATACCCAGTGCTGATCCTGGAGTGTCATAACGTGAAACCCAGCAATAGTATTATTCTTTGTTCACAGTGATATTAGCCTGCTTGGGTTTATTCAATCTCAACATAATTCAAGATATGGATAACTGCATGTATGTTTAAGTGTATAGGATTGATAACCATATTTCTAAGTTTTTGTTGGATAGTTGAACAGAACTGGTTGCAATCTCACTGTTTGAATCCCCACTTTATATGCTGCACATTAGTATCTTGAATAACTATTTGTAAGAAGACAATCTGTAATCATCAACTAGTAATTTCTTGCTGTTTATTTTTTTCTTTGAAATTATGTATTTCTACCCGCTTTCTTTAAATTTTTTAAATTGAATTAAAAAAAAAAACACTACTGTACCCAGTGCTGATCACACAGTATCATGATGTGAAATCCAGCAATACTATTCTTTGTTCAGAATGATTTTAACCTGCTTTAGTTTGTTTAATCTAAACATAAATGAAGAGATGGATAACTGCATGTATGTTTAAGTGTATAGGATTGACAACCATGTTACTAAGTTTTTGTTGGATAGTTGAACAGAACTGTCTGCAGTCTCACTGTTTGAATTCCCACTTTACATGTTCCATTTTTGTATCTTGAACAACTTTTTGTAAATGACAATATGTAAACATCAACTAGTGATTTCTTACTGTTTATTTTTTTCTCTGAACATATGTATTATTTCTACCTATTTTCTGTTTTGTTTATTCTTTTTTTTTTTTTTTTTTTTTGTCTTTTTCGTTTTCATCGGTACCAGCGATCGAACTCACGACTGCCTGCTTTCAAGGCAGGCGCTTATGCCGCTGAGCTAAATCCCCAACCCCGTTTTGTTTATTCTTTAAAAAAAATTTTTTTAACTTTAAAGAAAACAAAACCCAACAAAGAAAAACTAAAAGAAAATGGGAGTAGTAGATACTGTACTTTAGAATCTAAGTAATATGCTTCTCCTTGTCCATGTTGCTTCTAGACATGAGTAGAGTCCAGGATTATTTTTAGGTGAGTACAAGGCCTAGGATAAAACACAATGTGTGGCTTAGTTCTTTCTATCCAACTTTAGAAATAGGTTTCAACAGAGTGAAAACAAAACGTAACGAGCAGTTTTGAAAATAGTTGGGCAATTGCAAAAGGATGATAGGCAAGCAGAGAAATTTATGCAAAGGGAAAAAAAGACTTGGGTTGCTGCAATATTTGTTGGTATGGAAGAACCTGCAGCGGCAGCCAGTTCTTTTCATCCTATATATTGTTCTGCACATTACTGATCACCCTACATTCAAAGCATGTATTGGAGTTGTACGGTATTGGAATGCTTTCTTTGGAGTCATTATCAGAAACGGATCAATGCCTCATCTATCCCAATGTGACATTTTGTACTTACCTTTTCCTTGTTTTGTGCAAATTAAGTTTGAGATTCTGGGTTTTCATTTTCTTTGCAGTTCTTAAGGCAATGAAACATATCTTTAAAAACAATGTAAATGTTGATTTTCTCACTTCAGAGGTCATTAAGTTTACCTTCATTCTTCTCTGAAGTGCGATGCTCTATTACACAGTGAAGGACAGTAGTTTCACTAATGACGAGATATACTTTATTTTGATCCATACTCTGACTCATGTAAGCAATGGAAAGAGATTTTGTGCATCTTAGTTTAACATTCAGTAAGATTCTTTGGATTTTTATTAGCCTAGTATTTTAAGAAAAGCTTTAAGAATATTTGTAAAAAATAAGTTTTAAGAATCACGTAGGAAAGCCATATTACAGGCATATAATAATTTTCTTTAAAAAAGATTGATTACGGTAATTTGAGCTTTTATAAATTTATTATTTTTTTCAGTTAGACAAAATCTTGGTATGTTGCCTGGGCAGGCCTTGAAGTCCTGGGCTCAAGCAATCCTCCCATCTCAGTCTCCTGAGTACCTGGGGCCACAGTGCCTGGCAGTAATTTGCTAAAGTTGTGTTCATGGATTAGTTGTGTTTGTCAAACAGAAGACAACTCCATGAGGATTCCTACATATCCTGGTAACAATAAAGCAAGTAAACATATTATGAATAACATCTATCATCACCGACATTAACTACTTCTCATAATAAGCTCTGTGGTTACATGTAGTCTCCTTTAGTTACCTGTAGTCACTCAGAAGGTGATGATCTTTTAATTCAGTATTTTAATTCATTCACTTTGAGTTACTTGCGGTTGAACTCTTCCCTAAGAATGCCTTGAGCAAGTCAAGAGGAACTAAACTACACTGTAAGTGTAAGGTGTATCCAAGGGTGGGTGGTGACGCCTGTAACCCAATTCTTGGGAGGTGCAGTCAGGAGAACAGCAAGTTCACGGCCAGCCTGCACAACTCAGCAATTCACTTTTATCATTTATTTATTTATTTTTTATCTTTGCCAAAATAAAGCACAGGCCTAACAAGGTAAGGTAACGTGGCCAAAGTCAATCAGTAAGCACAGAGAAAAACTCAAAGCTAATAAATTCTTGATCCCAAATTCTGTTTTCCCTTTACTGGATCCAAGAGCTTCTCTATACTCTACTGCAGTGGTGGCAAACATACAGCAGTGGTGGTACGGTGGGCTGTTTGTTTTTTGGTTTGTGTATTTTTGGTATCAGGAATCAAACTCACAATCTTGTGCTTCCCAGTCAAGTGCTTGAGCCACTGAGCTAAATCCCTGCCCCTGCAGTGGGCTGTTTGTTATCACTGAAAGCTCTAAAAGCTTTGCCACTGCTGCTCTACTCTCTCTCACTTGTATTTCTTAGGAAATTACCTGTCACCATTTTAAGTTCAGAGAGGTGAAACAGCCTGTCCAAATGGTGTCAGCAGGTAACAAAATCCAACTATACCTCCAAATCAACTTTAAAGAATGAAATATGGACATCTTAGTATTTTGATTTATTTTGTTGTAATTTATGTTTGGCCAGGTAAAAGATTCCAGGGTATCCGTTAGTTTAAGGTTATGCCTAATCTCCAACAATAACACTAAGGATGGTACAAAGTGAGCCTTTAGTTCCTATTCTTTCCCTTTTAGTTAATAATTCAGCTTCATAAGCAAAACAAAATTCTGATTGTCAAGGCAGGTTGGTTGGATCCTCTTAGAATGAATAAAAGACTAACATTTGAAAAGATAGTCAGCATTTAAATATGAACACTATGTTTGGAAAAGTAGGAAAATATACTAAATAAACAAATTAAAATATACACCCAAATAATACCTTTAGAACTCTAATCCATAACATGTACCAACTTTTCTTGATGAATGTGCTGATTATGTATCAAACTGTACTAATAAAAAATTAAAAATAAAACCTTTCAACCTTTAAGATAATATAAATCATCTATTTAAAATGATATTACCTAATATTTTACATAGAAGCCACTTGTACACTTGTGTTTTATAATAGCAACATGCCAAGTTAAAAACTTCGAGTATCAAGCTCAAACATATGTTCACACATACTAGCCTTATACCTTTAATACTGACGTACACCCACAGCCCTTAGTTCTGTAAAAACTGGTGTAAAATATTTTAATGTGATGTGATTAATTTTGGGGGACAAAAAGAGAATCAAAATGATATAAATTTCTTTGAAAAGGAAGGCCAAGCCAAAAATCTAAATTTATTATAAAAAGCACTAAAATAGATTCCTAGTTATAAACTGTTAACAAATGTTCATCTTAATCAGTACTCAGCATTAGATTTTCAAAGGCAAATTTCTGGGAACAGTAAGTTTCATACATCTTTTGTTTTCTTTCCAGTATGTTGAAGCTTGTTTATTACAGAGTGGAATTTGATGGAAGATGGGTTATTTTGGACCACATCCAAAGAGATTTAGTTACTGAAAGCACCTCATTATAAGGTGGTCTTACCAATAAGGTGATCCACTGGCTCGGATCCCATGGATATTATAACAAGGCTCCATTGTGGAGTCCAGGAAACTGGGCAGCTAATGGTTCCATCAAATGAAACCTTGCGCAACAGAAATCTTTTTTTTCTCCCCGTTTTGAGACATGAAAGTCGTTTAGGACCAGGGGATCATAAGCCTTGGTCAGTTTTCTAAATTTCCATTTCCTGAAGTGCTATTCTTTATTTTATGACTCATAGCTGTACAGATATTCCATGTTAAGATTTTAGCTTCACTAAATATTATCTGATGTGACTTTGGGTCTTTTTAAGTTATGAAAAATTTTACTAGCACTACCTTCACAAAAAATGAGGCCATCTACCTATGAAAAGAAACAAGAAACTACCAAGAATTTATAAAAATTAAATTCTGGTGTAAATTATTGAAAAATCTGAGATTAAAAAGAGCACAAATAAGTGTGATAATCAAAATGTTTTAAAAAAGACTGCCATCATTTACAGATGACTTCACTAAGCTGTCTTTAAAGTGATTTTATAAGCACTTTGACTTCACAAAGTCTTACAAGCAGTTTTAGAGAATTAACTATTTTGCACGTGCTTTATTTATGAAAACATGACAGATCCTGTTGTAGAAAAACAATATAAGAATACTTCTTAAAATTAAGTTCATAAAAATAATAAAAACAAAGTCCTGTATGAATGTAGATAGTGCCAAACTTAAAATCAGCTGATAATAAAATACACGATAGGAGCATAGTAAGCGTTCTCATTAATTTCACTCACAATTCTAGAAAGTTTAATGATTCATCCAAAGTTAAATATCAAGTCATGAAACATTTACTTTTATTATTCCCTTCCTCCACAAATAAAGCCCTTTTCCCAATTAGTGGTTTCTACCGCCCATGGCTGTATGCAGTATTACATTAATAATTTCATATGCAATGAATGTATTAATTATCTGATAAACAACTCCTAACATCTCCAAAAGTTTAAAAATAAGTCAGCCAAATAATGTTTTCTTCACTCTATATCACAGTTCTTTGTCACTACACCCATTTATTAGGGAAGCTTTGTATAAAGTAAAAATGCATTCTAGATATGTTTGATCTACTAATAACTGGTGACTTGATATGTACTAGGTATTGTAAATTGTTTTTATATTGCAACTTCTTGCACTATCACCTTTCTCTCTAAAAGAGACCACAAACCTATTTTCAATAGTGATATCATTGCATATTTTTCAAAACATCTTTTAGAACTACTAAAATCATGTGGCATTTTTCTATGCACATTTTCAGTAATGGAATGTTTTTGCCTCAGGGGCATCAGGTTTTGGAAAAACTAAAAAATCCTATCAAGGGAAACAGGATGGTATTTGTGATCAATTTTGATAGTAACACTAAGATATGAGTATAAGGTAATATGCTTGATGCTATAGTTCATCAATTTTACTAAGGGCAATTTCAAAAGTTTTCAAAATGTTTCAATTGTAAGTGTTGGAAAGAATAGCTACCTTTTCAGCTGTGATGCACACATTCATATGTTCCTTAAATGTGGCTAAGTCAGTTTATCTTTTCTATAAATGCTTTACTTTAAGCATTTTCTAACAAAAGCAAACAGAAGCTGACTCAGAGTAAAACATATTTCTTTAAATTATTAATTTTGAAAGCTGTTAGTAGTATAAGTACTAAATTCTTGGTCTCACAAATGAAACTAATTCGATGGAAGTCATAGTATTATTAGTATGACTTAGCAAAGCAGAGGCTGGGCCAAGTCTCTTGTCCCCCACCTGGTATTCTTTCTACTCCCCAATTATCCTTTCCTTTCTTTCCCCCACTAGGGCTGGGGATGGAACCCAGAGCTTTGCCCATGTGAAGAAGGGGCTCTATTGCTGAGCTACATTTTAGCCCCACTCTATTAGCCATTTAAGATCAAAATAGGAGGGGAGAGAAATTTTTTCACTCTCTCAAAAAAGCCCAAAAAATACATAAATTACTTTCTAAGCTAGTGCTTGGTACTTATTACTAAGGAACTAATGAAAAAATGTATATACTAGGTGGGACCTAAAATATTCCAATCTACAATAAAGCCTTGGTCAATTGAAATTTTTTTCAAGCATGTTTAGTATTGTAATATCCAATGCTATAAAAGCAGACAAGCTAAACGTCATCAAAATGAAAGCAAATGCATATACATAATGTTAAGTGAGGTACTGACACACAAACCTAAATATTGCATGATTTCCCTCACATGAAAAATTTAATATATATCAAGAATACAAAATAGGGGCTAGGGATTTAGCTCAGTGGCATAAGCGCCTTCCTTGCAAGTGTGCGGTCGTGAGTTCGATCCCTGGTACCAATAAAAACGAAAAAGACAAAAAAAAAAAAAGAATACAAAATAAAACAGATAACAGGAAAAAAGAGAATGAAAGCTAATCCAGTGTGAACAATGTACTATAAGTGTTCCATGAATTACTACAATTCTTTTACATGTTTTATATGTTCTTTGGCCCATTAGTCTGGCTTTCAATCTGTATATAAAATTAACCTTATAAGATCTTATAAGATAAATGAACCTGATGCTGGAAAAATAAGAGGAGGGGAGAAGGGAATTGAAATGTGTTATGCACATGTACCAGTCCCCTACAGTGAATGTAATTATGTACTACAAACACATACTAATAAAAAGTAAAAAAAAAAAAAAAAAGTAATTCATTTATCCAAATGAATGTAAAAAAGAAATCCGATTACTTAGAGTTTTGACTTGATAATAACAGACCATACATATCACTTGACCATCTCATAGAAGTTCAGTTCTGGCTGGGGAATAACACACAGCTCAGTGAGACAGCAACCGCTTAGCATGCATGACGTCATGGGTTTGATTCCCAGCAATACACACACAATTTCATTTCAAGCCACCCAGAAGTTTAAATGCCCACTGAATAGCATGTTTCTTAGAAAAAATCTTTTATAACTATTGTTGATTAGATGTATGGTTTCATTCTCTTAAACATAAACATACAAAATTCACAGAAAGGATTATTGTCCTCCAAAGGAATATACTTCACCTGAAATTGTATATACAGGCTTGGTTATTAAATTTACATATGAAGTTTTCTATCTTATAAACACATAATTAAAGCTATAGGGAACATATCTCACTTTTTCTCACAATGTGAAGCTTAATAATGAAAACTGAACAGTTGGTATATTTCATTTGGTCTTTTATAACTTTACATAGTTTTATGACACTCTGGATTTTATCAAATAAAAAACCAAAGCAATTGCCAGGCGTGGCGGCTCACGACTGTAATCCCAGCACTCAGGAGGCTGAGGTTGCGAGTTCGAGACCAGCCTGGACTACAAAGTGAGCTCAAGGCCAGCCTGAACTGTCTTTTTTGAGAGCAAGTCTCAAAAAAGACAAAAAAAAAACCACAAAAAACCTACCCTACCCCCCCCCCCAAAACAAAGCAATTTCAAGAAAAGTAAAAATAAGCCAGGTGTGGTTGCTCATGCCTGAAATTCAGTACTTTGGGGAGCTGAGGCAGGAGGAACTCAAATCTGAGCCCAGCCTAGACAACTCAGCAAGACCTTATCTTGAAATAGAAAAGAGCAAGAGATGTAGCTTAGTGTGAAGGCTTAGTATTGCCAAAAAAAAAAAAAAAAAAAAAAGTTTCCTTAAGTTTTCTAACTTTAAGCCAGTTTAATATGGGATTAAACTTTCTAAGACAAACTTTAGATTTCTTAAAAACAGTCTTAGACCGGGGCTGGGGATTTAGCTCAGTGGTAGAAAGCTTGCCTAGCAAGCTGGAAGCCCTGGGTTCAGTCCTTAGCACTAAAAACTGAAAAACAAAAAATTTTCTAAAAAAAACCCACAAAGAAACATTCTTAGACCGATCGGACAGAAAATCTACAGTGAAACATGGTAGAAGTTGAGAATACTCAACTCAATTAATCTTTATGTATTGGGATGAAAACAAATAGGTGAATAGGGCTACCAAACTACAAAATATGAAGTTACATGAAATTAGAAGTGCTCCACGAAACTCTTTCTGACTAATTTTAAAGTATATTTAGTTAAGTAACACTTGGAGAAAAATACTGTGTAAGAATCACTTTATCAAAACAACATGAGAAGAGTAAAACTTCTTGAATATAAAATATTTTAAAATCTGAAGACACTGAAAAAGTATATCCCAAATTTTAAAGTCATCCAATGTATAAATTATTTACAGTAGAATCTGACAGAAGTATGACAACAGATTTTTACAGCTTGACAGTAAGTATTATTACCTAACATTAGGAGAGACAACTGCTTACAGTTCTTCCTATTCCATGGGTTTTTCCCAACTCCAATTTATTTACACATTTACATTACTATTATCAATATTTTTTCAATATGCATGATTCTACTTAACTTTGAATTTGTGAAATCCTTGGTTTTTATTTCTCTGAATCCACTCCTTTCATAGTTCCAATTTCATAAAGCTCTCTTGTTAAAATGTAAATGACTCAGTACTGAGTCTATCAATTTCTACTAGTTCAATTTTTTCTTCATCTGTGTCTACAGGATCATAAAGTTCAGGTGTAAAATAGATAGATTCATCATCTTCTTCCTCTGCTTCAAAAGCTCTATTTGGAGTGGAACATTTAACTTCTTTGCTTCCAGGAGACAAAGCAATATCCAGGTTTGGAGCGTCTGTACAGCAGAGCAGTTGTGGTGAGTCATCTTTTTCAGTAGGAGTAGCATCAACCTTTACTGATGACACAGTGCTTTCTGACTGGGAGGATGGCCCAAATGACGTGTTCACTGTTAGATTTGAGGGCTCATTCTTAATAGTGAGTGGCAAAACTGTTTTACTTTCTAATTTTTCTGCTTCAAAAGTGGAAGTACCAGAGGTATAGTTCTCTGAAGACCGGAGCTCAGGTACTGTAGTCTGTGCTTTATCAGTAAAACATGGTTCTCTCAAGTTAAAGCCAGAACAGCTAATTCTTTTTGTTTGTTTTTTGAATGTTGGGCTTGTGGATCTGGAAATCACATTTTTTTCTGTTTTCACTGTCTGGACAGACTCTTCCAATGATCCTGGATCATCTATAAATACAAAAATTTAAGACCTTTAACTTTCTGTTCCTAGCTAACATTATAATTGTTAGGTTAAATTTTTTTATTAGAAAAATTAAATCAGCTGCATAGAATACGTAGTTTAGAGACTATAACCAGCAACACTGGATTTTCATCTCAGAATCTGAAAGAACAGCATGCTAACTCTGAAAGGAATATCATATCTCCAGTGTTTCCCAGCCCAATCTATAACACTCTCCAGGAAACTATCAAATTACACATCAGGGATCTGGAAGAAGAAGAAGGCCAAAAAAAGGAACAGGCTGAAAATTTACCTGGAAATTCACTAACTGGTGATTGAGAAGAACTGCCTTAATCAACAAGGAAACTGACAACCACAAGGCTATGTATTTTCTCAAAGAGATATAACTGGACAGTATTGACAGTACTTGAACCTAGGTTTCATTTATAATAGCCTTGAGTTCACTATGACATTTATTTAGAAGCATATACCACAGAATAAATGTTTAAAAATACACATTAAGCTATAATGACATATAAATTAAAAACTTAAAATTATACCAAATAACCAGAGTTTGGCAAACACTTTCTTTTACAGTCCAGATAGCAAATATACCAGGCTTTGAGGGCCATATTGTCCCTGTTGCAACTACTCATGAATGCTCTTCTAGAGTGATATATAAAACTGCTCAGTTTTGTAGACTGTAGTATGTAAGGTAAGTCTATTAAACTTTATGATGTTCTGATATTTGCTTCTTATTAGAACTTCATAACCAAACCTGGAGGAGTGACTAGCAGGTACTTGTTTTTTTCTATTATGACTCAAAAGCATTTTTTATAATTGTTATTGAGACAAGGTCTCACAAGATTGCCTAGGTGGCCTCAAACTTGTAATCTTCCTGCCTCTGCCTTCCAACTAACTAGGATTACAGATGCATGCACCAAAATTGGTTATAATAACACTTAAGTTTAAATCACTATACTTAAAGAATCTATATAATATAAATATCGTTTCAATATTATATAATGACTTCTCTATCAAATGTAAATGGGCAGGACTTTCCATACTTTTTTCCTTTCTGGAGTTGCTGTCATTAGGTAGAGATGGATTTTTGGTAATCACTGTAGGGCACTGTAGTTCCTGGACACACATTTTTGCTCCATCTTCCCTAGGATTTTCTGGAGATAGAAGACTTGCTGCTTCCAACAAACAAGAAGGGGTATTGTCCTGCAAACAGGTCATTTCAACAGTAGACTCGTCGTCTTGTGCACATTTTCTGTCCTTTTTGGATACACCAATGACTTTTTGGTGCTTTTTGGAAAATTCAGCCAAGGACTCCAGGGCACTTTCAAAGGTTGAATGGTGCTGAATCTGCTGTCTCACCCATTTAGAAAGTCCTAAAGAAAAAGTAAACCCAGAGGAAAATTTGGTTATTTAGTTACTAAAGTCCTGAGGTAAAACATACTTTTGCTAATGAAGTAATCTAATTTGTATTTCAATATATAGAATAGTTATCAAACTTTTCCTACAACTTTACTTCATATGTATAATATGCACATGACTTATGATGGGGTTAAATCCTGATGAACTTTTCATTATGTTAAAAATGTTAAAAGTCAAAACGCAATTAATAAACCTAATCCCCACAACATGAGTGGTCAGCAGCACAGTGCACCAAAGTGCATCCATTGGTTTCCAGTGCTGCGTGGAGGCCGCAGATCACTGCTGCCGCTCAGCACTGTCACACAGTTTGATCCCTTGATGCAGTAGCCAGGAAAATGTCAGAATTGAAACCTGAAGTGTGTTTCTGTGAAATGTAGGTTGCTTTCACACTACTGTAAAGTTGAAAGATTACAAGCTCAACCATTGTTAGTCGGGAACCATCTGTATTCCCTAGTTGAGAATTTAATTTCATCATTACATTATTCCTCACAATTGCACGTGTTCTTTCACACAGGGGAGCTAGAAGTAGTAAATAATGCAATCTTCCATTCCAACATTCTAAATTGGGCTCCATTTCTAAAAAAAATACATTCAAGATTCTAGTCTTAAAGGTTTTTGTTTGCTCCTCTCTGCTAACAATATCACATATATCATACACTATCCTGAAGATGAAAAAAATATCACTGTCTTGTGGGCAAATCATGTCCTACCTGAATTTTTACTATGTAGTTTTAAACACGTATAAATAAAGAGATATGATTTGACCTATGACATTTAGAAGCTAAAAAATGAACCATATTGAAAGTATAAGGTATTTATATTCTAGTTCACTTCACAATAAATTCAAAGTATTTAGATTTTTACAAAATAAATATTCCCCGGCTAATGCCATTAAAACAAAAATCTTTAGGAGCAAGTAGTTTTGAAAGTCACCATGGTATTATAAGTTCCAAGAAAGATAAAACAAGATTTCAAACAACCTAAATTGTTATACTTTCATTTGAAATACATTTCTTTAGATTTTTAATGGAATTACTCTATAAATTCTTTACTTACAAAAATTTAAACAGAAAACAGTAATGAAAAAATGTGTGGCTAATAATAACAAAACCATAGCCAAAATATTTTACATCTTATAAGTGTCAAAGAAAGAAAATTATTCAGAAACACTGGAAAATACTTAATTCTTAAATTTTTTAAACTAGTTTTTTTGGGGAGGAAGAGCGTGGGTTTGGTACCAAGAATCAAACTTATAACTTTGTGCTTGCCAGGCAGGCGCTGTGCTGCTGAGCTATATCTCAAATTAATCAAAAATTAGAACTGAAGTAAAAATTTAAACTCTAAATTTCAAAAATTTTTAAAAAACGAAACAAGCATTTTTCTTCTATTTATTTTGCTTGCTTGGGGAAAATGATTACCCAAATAAAAATGTGAAATTCTCTAAAACTGAAAAACTTTAGTATTATAATTACATTTTCATTTTGACCTTTTTATAATCAAAGAAAACCTTCTAGTACATCATTGTTTGCTTTTACGAACTTGAAAGGATCTGAGCTCCACCTGCTGACTAAACACCAGTACTTAGCATTTTTGCTTTTATTTACTGCTTGACCTCAGCCACTGCTTGCTTTATATAAAAAAGAAAAGCAAGCAAGATTTTCAGCTGTAATCTTGAGAGTTAAGTTTCAATATCACACTAAATACAGTAATTAAACTGAACTGGTAAATGTAGAGTCCATGCTCACAAACAGCTAATCTGAAACCAATTCATAATTTAATTAAAATTTATAGTATGATTAACTTTTTAGCTTCAAAATATAATAAATACACAAGTATAGTCCACAGCTGTTTGCTAATGTGGACTGATTCTGGAAGGACTCTGACACTAGTGGGTGAAAAGCACAGGCACATAATATTTATTGATTTGGGTGGGGGGAAAATGAACATCTATTTGATCCTACTGCAGTGGAGCTTTATGCCCTTTCAGAAAATACTAGCTTTGACTACCATAAATTCCAAAACATCTGAAGCATCTCTAAAAAAAAAAGCAAATAAATACAACAAACTTCAACATAATCCAAAGTAAGAGAACATGAAGCAATCTAAAGAGATGCATTTGTTTACTTTAATGTAAAAATTTGGTATTCCTTCAAAAATTCATTTCTTTATAGAGAGCTTTTCCCCTGACCATGGTAAATAAACTATTCCTATATTATTGAATTATATCTTATACTCTATGTGATTTAAGAATCCTAGTTTAGTTAATCTTTGTTAATAACTAAACAAATTCTCTTTTAAAAAATTTTTTATAACTGTAAATAAATGAGAACTAAAGAACTACATTCCTAGTCAATGGGAATTATTCATGTTTGCTCCAATAATTTAAATTTGCTATCAAATTATCTTTAAAAATAGATGCCATTAAATACAAAAGATTTAATGTGGTGGACTAGGAACCCCCAGACCCACCTTCTTTCTATGAAGAAATGGATTCAACAATATATAGATCAAACCCCTTTACGAGAAATCCAGACATCAGTTAAGAGGCTCCTGAATGCAGGCTAGCACAAAACCAGCTGTATCAACACAAGCAAGAAATTTAGTGGCACCTTCTCACTAGCGTCCCTGCTTTGGAACAGTGCCATATGGTTGAAAGTTCCAGCTTCTGCTTTTCCCTGAGGAGAAAAGAGAAGGCTGGAGTATATGTCCAAAGTCTTGGCTTTTGGGAGACGCTATACAGGGCACTTGCTTCTGTCTTGCCCATCTTGAGATGCGGATGATCTAGGATTCTCTACATGCCTGGGGACCACTGAGAACAAAAGAGCCAGGCAGCATAATGTCGCTCCACAGGAACCATGGTTTAAAAAATAGGTAGGCTGATAAAGCTCAGTGGCTACTTTGGAAGGAAGAAAGAGATGAGCATCTCAGCTTTTCAATAATAAGGGGCTAGGTCATTCAACACTGACCGTGGTGCCCTGGCATGCTTTACGTGTCTGGACAGGATGCAGAACAGAAGAGCTGGGAAGTATACTGCTGCTTTGGAGACCCCACGACACAAAAGTATAATGTTCAGAAGGGAAAACCCTTCAATTAAGAATCTAAAGTGTTATTATTACAGTTACAGATTCCCTGTGGCAAATGTGATCAATATTATGAAAAATATATACTAATAAAAATAAAAGTTAATAAAAGCAAAGAATATATACACGTAAATCCTGGGAGATAAGTCCATGGTAAAATTGTGAGACTCCCAGAACGTGGGGCAGGGCTGATGAGTGAAGGTCTTTTCTTATGCAAACACTGTGAAAAGACTGTTTTTGAGACGTGTAGATACAAATACAAACGTATAGGGCCTATAAGGAAATAGGCTATTTCCTGGTTAAAGCCTGTTCAAAAGAACAAAGTAAATCTCCAGAAATTAACTCTAAAGGAATGGAGCTATGGGAATTTCCTGACAAAGATTTGAAAAAACTATCAAAAGGATGCTCATGAGTGCAATAAATGACACAGGAAAAAAATTTTTTTTTTTAGCAAGGAGAAATAAAGAACTAAACTCTTGATCTGAAAAATGAAGTAACAACTGAAAAATTCACTCAACAGCAGACTTGAGTAAGCAAAACAGTTGGTGAATTCTTAAGACAAATCACTTGAAATTATCTAGTCAGAGAAGCAAAAGAGACCCCCTGCACTACCAAAAAAGCCCTAAAAAACAAAAAAGTAAAGAAAGTCTAAGAGAGCTAGGGGATACCACCAACCAAAGCAATACAGATGTAGCCTGAGAATTTAGAAATAAGAAACAGAAAGGTTATTTATAATAAATAAAATCTTTCCAAAAATTAGAGAAAAAAAAACATGACATCTAGATTCAAGACAAATCAAAACAGAATGATCCCAGCAGTCAATATCAAAATATATTATAAGCCAGGTGTGGTGGCGCACACCTGCAATCCCAGCACTTGGAGGCTGAAGCAGGAGGATCACAGTGAGTTTGTGGCCAGCCTGGGCTACAGGCCAGCCTGAACTGCACAGTGAAACTCTGTCTCAAAAAGACAAAAAAAAAAAAGGTATGTAACTGAATGGTCTAATCATATATTACCAAAAATGATTAATCCCTTGAACAGTTTAAAAATTGTTTAAAGTATAAAAACTGCAGGAACAGTTTAAAAACTAAAAATCAATGTGATATAAAATCACATTAAGAGAACAAATGGCAAACATTCTAAGATGATACGACATAGAAAAAGCATCTGACAAAGGTCAACACTTTTTGATGATAAAACTCTGAGCAAATGAGAAGTGGAAGGAAATTACCTCAACATAATAAGCATCACATATCAAAGCCCACAGTTAATGTCATATTCAGTGGTTAAAAATAGAAATCTTTTCCTTTATAAGCAGTGTCAATGCAAAGATGTCTCTTTTCACTACTGTTTAACATAGTACTGGAAGCCTGGGCTGGCTCTGTTAGATTAAAAGTAAAAGGAAAGAAATAGAGGGACAAAAGTAAAATTATCTCTCTTCAGAGATGAGATATGTGTAGAAAACCCTACAGATGTTCCCTGAAAACACTGTTAACAACTTTACCTCATCTGTTCAGTAGTTCTAAGATTCAAAAACAGACACACCCCACACATTAACAACCAAAAAAAAAAAAAAAAGAATTTAAGAAAACATTCTATTTGTGACAGCATCAAAAAGAACAAAGCACTTAGGGATAAACTTAACTAAAGGAAGCAAAGGACTTTATACTGAAAATTACAAAGCACTGCTGAAAATAAAGATAACATAAATAAATGGAAAGACATTACACATTTCAATACCAGAAGACTTACTATTGTTAAAATGTCCATGCTATTGAAAGCAATCTACAGATTCAGTGCAATTTCTACCAAAATCTCAATGGTATTTTTCATACAAATAGAAATAATAAGCCTAAAATCCATATGGAGCCACA